AGAACATTTAATACTTAAATATTAAAAATCAGATGATGATGAAGAATTGGTATTTACAGTTAATACTCATAATATTGTATATATGATTAGTAGAGATAGTAGTTGTTATCCTGTTAGAATTGAATGTGCAAAATATTTTGGTGGAGTAGATCATTTAGTTGTACTTAGAGGAGATCAATTAAAACATACTCAATATTATATTACTTTGACAGCAAGAGAAGCTACAATCTTTTAATTTATGGCTAAAGTTACTAAATAAGCAGATATCAATATTTAAGTATTAAAAGAAGATGAAACATATAGAGGAGTATTATAATTAATAGATGGTTAATAAAAAATTCATTATTTTAGAGTCATTATTAATTTTAATTAAGTGGATTAAAATGTTGAAGTAATTGATGAATAATAACCAACTATTGAATTTGCTATTCATTCTTCAAGAATGTAAGTAGCTTTAACTTTAAATCAAGGTAATCAATTACCATCTCTTAAATCGTATGATTTAATTACTTTTAATAATTATTTATCAATATAACCATAAGATTAATTTTATTAGAATTCTGGTAATTATACTATTGGAATTCAGAATATGTTTGAAACATTTTTAAATAAAGAAATTATGTATACTTTCACTTATTCAACAAGTAGAACTGTTAAAACACTTCATGTAGGTTAATAATTTGTAGATTTAGTTAAAGGATTCAAATCTAAATATTTTAGTTTCTATTATAGTTAAAATACTACTTTATTTTATATTAGTATATAAAGTAAAAACAATAATAAATTAACATTAACTGTCTAAAATGATATTAAACCTGATAATCATTCTTAATTTGCAAAAAGTTAAGATTCAAGTACACTTAAATTATCATAATCTGCCTTAAATAGTTTATGTTTAAATGGTCTTACATAAGAAGACAAAGAAGATGATATAGATGTAATGGCTATTTGTTAAGCTTATATCATTATTGAAAATCATGGAAATGAAGATATATTATTTAATATCAATATTTGGAATCCATAAACTGCTTTAGAACTTAAAGATGGATAAGAATATACTTTTAATTTAGAATATCTACTTTAACAAACTTTTTTATATTATAAAGTAATCTCAACATAAACTGATGTTTAATTACATATTAATTCACATTATGGATACACTAAATATTAAATTTAAATTCTAAATTCTCAAAATTAAGAATCTAATTCTCTTTATGCTAAAGAAGAATACAAAACTTAACATTCCAAAAGTATACATTCTGATGCATTTGAATTTTGTAAACCTGATTGTGTATTGAAAATATTATTAGAAGCATAAGAATTAATATACTAAAGTGATAGAATAATTAATTTTGATGATACTGTGTATGTCACAGTTACATAATAATATATGGATCTTAAAAGTGGATTACCTATTTAAATATCAGTAAATAAGTTATAGCCAAGAAAATTCATATTTTCAGAAATCAATGATATATCTCCTTAATCAAGATTCAAATTAATCTTACATGAAATTTATGGAAAAGGATCAATTTGTCTATTCTTTAATGATGAAGATAATATTAATATAAATAAATGTGAATATGAGGTATTAGGTAATGTTTTAGAATTGACATAAGCACAAATACAAGAAAAATTGACTGAATTAAATCTTACTAGAAATCCTTATATTATAATATAAATATATTCTATAGTTGATAATAGTAAGTTTTAATTATCATTAGAAATATCTAATGATAGGAATAATCATAAATTAATGATGGGAATACCAACAAGAATCAAATTAGATATTCAAGAAGAAGTTTAATATTAATATTTTAATATCTAAAAAGATGATGATTTATACTTTAAATTTATTAAAGTTTAAGGCACTTCATTGATTTAAATATCTAGATGTTTAGATAATATATAAAAAGATTGTGAAGAAGAAACAATTATTAATGAATAATTACTTGCAGGATAAACTTACAATTAACACATAATTCATAAAAATGATAATAAAAAATATTGTGAATTATGTACATATATAATTAAAATAAAAACTATAGGAATTAATGTAGATTTATTAATTATTGTAACTTCTTAATTAAATTTTGTTTAATTACCTTAAAATATTGCATTCACAGATTACCTTGAAAATCAAAATGATTACAATATCTATCATTTTTCTTATAACACAGATCATTAAATTGAGATTTAAATTAATCAGTATAATGGTGATACATAAATGTGGATTGGATATAATGCTGTACTTGATACTTCTCTTTATTAATATGGGCCATATAACAATATAAAATAATAAAAATTAATGAATACTACTTCATCAATATCTTATTATTAAGCTATTATTCCTCCAAGAGAACATTTAGAATAAACTAATTATACTCCTTATGCAAATGGATCTCATACTTTAGCAGGTCATTATAATGATGATGATCTCTATATAATTGTAAAGAATAATTAATAAAAGCCATCAAATTATTCTATACTTGTAACCTAATCAACAACTGGTAATGGATAACTATTATAAGATGGAATCATAACATTTGCTTATTTAAGTAGATAAACCCCTGTTATTACATTATATCATTAATATCGTTATTTAAAATAACCATAATTAGTAATTAAAATGGCTCATTATAGTAAATAGTTGTAAGTTTCAGATTTCTTCAGAATAGAAGTATCTAATGAAACTGAACCAGTCAATTACACACTACTTACACCTTTTTCAAGTAGAAATGATTAACAGACTTACATTTTACCAATTTTGGAAGGACTTTTAACTATAAAGATTCACAGTCTTCTAGAAATCAAAGGAAATGAGAATATTAATATTGAATATTAATTTAATCGTGAAGGTGATATTGTTCCTATAAGAAAGTAGAAGATAAAGGATAATTATAATTATGGAAACAATTATTTAAATAGAATTGATTTATAAATTAGTATTGTAGGCAAAGAAATCTTGATGATAGATGAAAAATCAAGTCTAAGTGATTAAATCTATGATTCTTAAGCTAAGTATTATGAATCTTATATACCTTATGAAGGCAAATTAGCAGTTTAAGTATATAATTGTTTAGGTGAATTGAAGGTATCAATAACTCAAAATTATGATGAATTTATTGAAGGAATATATAATGGTAGTAAGATAACTGTAGAAGGCTAATTAACAGATATTATAGTGCCAGTTAAACCAGGACCTATTTATTTTTAATTCTAATCTATTGAAAGTGTATATAAATTCACAACATAGGTGTACAAAGCATAAGATTTTGCACCATTTGGATAATTAGTTATGGGAGGTGATGGATAAATAAATTATTCATTTGATACTTATGATTCAGATTATATTAGTGTTAAATTCAAACCATTAAAATGTGTTGGTTGTGATCTTCATCAAGAAATGAATAGTTTAGTAAAGTATTCTATTAGTTGGGGTAGTACTATTTAATATGCTCATGTGATAGGTCTTTGTTAATATAATTAATATGCAAATTATCATAAAAATCATACAGATAATTTTGAATAAGTAGATATTGGTCTTTTTGCACTAAATCATACTGATTAAATAACATTTAATATTATTGTTGGTAATTAATCTATACATTCTTAATTATTTATTGCTATACGTGCTTAAGTTTTAGTATTTAATAATCTTACAATATAAGATTATGAATCATATTATCATGTTGCTTAGATAGCAATGCCTAATATTTCTCTATATTGGTATAAACATAGGTTCAATGAATTTGGTATAGGAGTTGTAATTGTTGTAAACTAATTATGAAACATTATAAGATGAAAGTAATGATTAATCAAATGTATGAAAGAGTGTATTAAAAATAAATATTTTTATTTTTATATATTTGTATTATAATAGTATATCAATTAAATATTAAAATGGTTGATTTAATCAATCAAATTTATTTCAAAAGTTAAATTATTAATCACAATTAAACTGTATATACTATTACCTCAAAATATCCAAAAAAATTAATTTACTTATTACAGAATCAAGAAATCATTGTAAATCTTGATGTTATCTATAGTTAGAACCTAATTTGAAGAGTCTTTCAATAGATACAATATTGATAATCAATAGAAAAGACTTTCACATTTCTGTTGAAGATCTGAAAAATACGAAATTATAGAAATCATCTTAACTTTATTCTGTATTTTTGGGTATCATAAACATATAATCAGTGATATTTA